TAAATTTGTTCCCCTCCACAAATAAAGAAAATTCTATCCACATGGATTCCCAGAAGCCTTGCCTCTGCCACACCACCTTGGGCTCCTCCCTCAGCAAGTTACCATCATGTAGGCTGTTGGCAGGGGAAATGAATGTGCAATGCTGTGAAAACAGACTCTGGGACCTGACAGCTGACATAGAGTGGAGGAAGGAAGTTGGGGACGGCTCTGGTTTGAGAGTCACTCCTAGGCTCTGTCAAGGAAAGACAAGGAGTAGTGTCTTTGCCCCGGAACATGGCACAAGTGTAGACATGTGCTCCTGCTAGATGGTGCTGTCCAGCTGGCTTTGAGAAGTGTGGGATTGGAACTAAGTTGGCTTAGTTATCTTCTCACAGACATAACTGAAACCATGGAAATACATTTCATAATGTTGAAAGTGGTATTTCTGTTGTTTTGTGCCCCTTGTTTCAGTTTCAAGACTCTGCTTCAGCAAGATGTGAAAAAGAGAAGAGGCTACGGAAGCTCCTCTGATTCCAGATACGATGACGGAAGAGGGTAGAGCTTTCTAAATTAATAATAGATATTTTTACCAGTCTGTAATTTTAATTAAATTAGATATTATGTATGGATAGACATAGTTTTGCTCATGGAACTAAAGTATTTAAATTCTATTTCACAAAATTAATGTATTACTGTAAATTAAATCAAGTTGCTTCAGATTTGAAAAGCAGAGTCAATTTGATAAAGCTAAAATGTGTATCAGATATCCTATGGGTAAAGTCTAAATTAAAGGCTGAAACTGATGACCAACATTAAATGTAGAGAGTTTCACTTTAGAATCTAGATTTCCACTGCTAAGGAAAACCAGACAAGACCAAGCAGCACTTCCACGGAGCAGAATTTCAGTTGGCATTTGCTTACGGGAGATACTGTTCAGGTCATCACAGTCTTGCTTGACCCACTTCCCTCATGTGCATTAAGTGTCTGGTCCTTATAAGTGTTTGAATTTTCTCAACTCCTGACCCAATTGGTAATTCCTATTTTAAATAGAGAAGAGGGTCTATTTGAGTGTTTGAAAGAACCACTTGATGTCTACTAAACATAAATTTTCTTTTATTAGGCCACCAGGAAACCCCCCCAGAAGAATGGGTCGAATTAACCATCTGCGTGGCCCAAGTCCTCCTCCAATGGCTGGTGGATGAGGAAGGTAACTTGAAATCTGAAATTACTCTGCAGAGATTTCATTTTTTTTTCTTTCATAGTTTAGAGATTTCATTTTGAAAATACCTTCTTAGGAAAGTTTTCTTTAGGAAAACAAGTTTCCCAATATTTTGTAATTATTCAGACATCTTATTTGGAAAAATATCTCAACCCTTGAAAAATTTACTGTATTTTATTAGCAAAGTGTCTTTTGAAAACAGGTTTAAAAAAAGATATGGACTTTTTTGTGCAGATCCAAATTAAAGACTCTTAACTGATTATTATAATGCTTTCTTTTAGGTAAATGTCTGCTCTAAGAAGCAGACAACTGGACATGCACATTCATAGCAGAAGGAAACCATCAAGAGGTGGAGGGCTGACCATGCTGGACAAGCAAATGAATGTGTATGTGTAAACAAGGATTGCTCTGTGTGCTCACAGATGGATGAGGTTGTGCTGGGAATTCCCTCCCCAGGGATCTGGCATGACTGACCTGCAGTTCTATAAACGCACATGTTTGTCTCATTATCTTTTTTGTATAGTTTATGAAAGTATTAATATAGTTTTAATAAGTAAATATTTTTAGGTTACAAAACTTGACTTGTCATCTTTGTATAATTAAAAAACCAAATTTGAGGAAGAATAAAGATTGTGTATTCAGTACAACTAGTGTCACCTTTTTAACTTCTGAAGTACTCCTCATTGTTAATTCGTTCTTATTTATAAATAAATCACGTTGTATTTATTTCAGTGGTATGCATACAGTTTTATCTCGAAACATGTTTGTCCTATAAATCTTTAATACACAATTTCAGATTTGCTACCAAATATAATTAGGGTATTTATAAAGCCATAACCAACAAACCTGAGCTACATACAAAATGAAGATTTGCTAGGTGGTTTTACAATCACAGGCTTCTGTGTTATCTTGACAAATTTGAATTCTAAACCATTGCTTAAGATACTGCCTTGTTGGCTCTCACCCCCAGGAACACTAGTAACTCTTATATTCTTTCACTAGAATGGAAGCTCTATGAGGTTAGGGATTTTTGTCTTTTTTACCCTAGTGCTTTGAATAGTGACTACATGTAATAAGCATTGAAATATTTGTTGGAAAAATGAATAATACAGATAATTCTGCTTTGTGCTTAACAGTCTTTGAAACAAAGTTTCAGGATAAAGCATTCTTGAGAGCTTGTTTGGAGGTTCTAGCAGGGAGCGCAGCTTCTTGTATACCCTTGACCGAAGAACAGTCCTCCTCTATCAGGGAAGGTCATCCTCTTCGACCAAGTGCGCAACTTCGGGAGGGACGCACATGGAGCGATGAGGGAGGGAGGGGACACCCGCATAGCCAGCCAGATCAGCCGAATCAACCCTAGCAATCAGTGGGGTGACAGATGTCACAGCCAGATTGCCCTCACATCCAGGATAAAGCATGTTTGTATTTATTTAGAAGCATTTATTTAACCCTATTTGCCAGGAAATGGGGATGTCGTGCCATGAGACACTAGTCTTCAAACACAAGGAATGGGGCAATTATAACAACTTTAAGAAGGATAATAAAGACAGTTTATTGATCACTCAAGTCTGTGAGACATTTTATCTGTTACTTATTGTTATTTCTGATGCACTGGGTTAGGTAGATGATATTTGCATTATACAGATAACATGCAAGGGCTCAACAAAGTTGTGATGTCCAGACTATATGGCTGATGAATGGCAGGGTCATTCTGTCAAATCACCTAAGGCTGTAGTGGAGAGGAGAGGAGACCAGGGTAGAGTCTCAGGAAGTGATGGCTTCTCTTTGCCTGTGATTTGTGATCCCTACCACGCCCCCCCCCCCCCCCCCCCCCCCCCCCCCCCCCCCCCCCCCCCCCCCGCCCCATCTCTGCCCAGAACCACTGTGGAGGTACTCTTTAGGGTTTATCCTATAGTCCTGACTTCATCAGATATTTAGCTCTCCTAATGTAAGCAAGCTAAGAATAGACTTAATTCCTGCTTCAAAGGAATAAGATGACAAGATAACTGGGAGAGGCTTCTCTGAAGTGGCATTTGAGCTGACAGGATGAGGATGAGACAGCTGAGGAGGAGCATGAGGAGGAGCACCCAAGGCAAAGGGGAGAACAAGAGCAATGGCCCAACGAAGGGAAGTGCTTGGCATGTGTGAGGAGCTGAAAGAAAGCAAGGGTAACTGGAAATGTGGACAGAAGGAGAGGAAGTGAACTTACAGATGTAGCAGAAACTGGATTAAGAACTTAATAACTGGAATGCTGGGTTAAACTTAACCCAACTCACTGCTTCCATTTTGTCCTCCTGCAATCTGTTCTTAATGCACTTGCTCAAGTGTCAACTTTTAAATTATGAAGTAGTTAATCAATACCACATACCCAGCAATCCACTTAATACCACCTATGAGTTATCTTGGACAAAAATTAAACCCATGCTTTACTCTTAGGTTTCCCCTTCTTCATGGAACAGAATCTAAACTCATAGCTTAGAAGGCCATTCTTAATCCAGTTTCTGCTGACATCTCTTAAGTTCACTTCCTCTCCCCTATGACCCAGCAATAGCACTCCTAGGAATTTACCCAAGGGATACAGGAATGCTGATGCATAGGGGCACATGTACCCCCATGTTTATAGCAGCACTCTCAACAACAGCCAAAACATGGGAAGAGCCTAAGTGTCCATCAACTGACCAATGGATCAAGATGTGGTTTATCTACACAGTGGAATACTACATGGCAATGAGAAAGAATGAAATCTGACCATGTGGAGGAACATGGATAGACCTTGAGGGTGTTATGCTAAGCGAAATAAGTCAGGCAGAGAAGGACAGATACCATATGTTTGCACGTATAGGACAGATACCATACGTTTGCACGTATAGGAGGTTTAGGAGAAACTTAACAGAGCACCATGGGGGAGATGAAGGGGGAAAATAGTGGGGGAAAGGGAGGGAGGCAAACCATGAGAGACTCTTGAAGGCTAAGAACAAACTGAGGGCTGATGGCGGGGGAGGGGAGGGGGAAGGGGTGATGGGCACGGAGGAGGGCACTTGTGGGGATGAGCACTGGGTGTTATATGGAAACAAACTTGACAATAAACTATCTAAAAAAAAAGAAAAAGAAAAAAGAGGCTGTTGCAGTCCAGAGGAGAGAATAGTGTGGACTAAGGTAACGATAGAGATGGCGAAGTGGATTCATTCAAGATATATTTTAGAGACTGCAGGATTTACTGATAGATTGGACAACAGCAGAATCAAAGTGATATTTACCAAAATGGTGAACATGGGAGTAGGTTGGGGGCAGAGGGTATGGGGCAGATACCAAGCGTTCCAGTTTGGGCACATTTAAGTTTGCTATGGCTTGTGGACATCTACATGGAGATACCAAATAGGCTGTTGATTATCAGTCAGGATCTCAGAGACACTTCCAGACTGGATTATGTATCTGGGAGTTATATTCATATGCAAAGCCATGAAACTGGATAAAGTTATTCGATGGGTGTAGACAGAGGGGCCCTAACTCAAGAAAACCTTAGCAACAGAAGCGGGACTGAGTCTAACCAGCGCTGTATGAGGAGAACTAGGAGCATGTGAGGTCTAGGAAGCCAAGAATAGAGGCTTCCTATTGTGAGAACAAAACGCGACGCTGGGTATAGTGATCAAAAGTTAAAACAAGTAGGCTTCCAACATCCTACCGTCTGGACAAATCACAGCAACACCCACCCTTCCACGCCCCACACCCCGCCCTATCCTCCCCTGGACAGCCCCGCCCCTCCGATTTCCCGTAATCCTCTGGGGCGGCTGTCCAGCGGCCATCTTGGTTGCCGGGCACCAGGTTGGCAGGCTGCGCGTGCGCGGCGGCCCAGCCGGCTCCGGCGGGTTCGGCGCGTCCCTGAGGCTAGAGGTCGGTGTTTGTCAGCGGCCGCGATGACCCAGGCGGAGAAGGGGGACGCGGAGAACGGGAAGGAGAAGGGCGGAGAGAAGGAGAAGGAGCAGCGCGGCGTGAAACGACCCATCGTGCCCGCGCTGGTGCCGGAGTCGCTGCAGGAGGTGCGGCGCGGCGCCGGGGGCGGGTCTCGGAGACGGCCTTCCGGCCGGGCGGGGGGTGAAAAGGCAGGCGGGGGTGCCGGGTTTCCGGCCCCCGCCCTCGCTGCGCTGGCGCGGGGGGTGGTTGTCTCCCCGGCCGGCCGCGGGACGGACCCCCCGCCCTCGCCTGCCTTCCGAGCTGCTGTGGAGTGTCAGCGAGCGCAGATGGAGTTTAGCGCCGGGCAGGGACACTTGGCGGTGCAGGCGGTTTCCTTTGTGAAGGAAGTCTTGGGGAGGCCAGTTCCAGCATAAAGCAAGGAAGGGGCAGACGATCGTCTGAATAGACATGAAGAGTTTGTGTGTCAGAATCAGAACAAGATGAAGTCATCCTAACCAGAAAAAAATACTGGTAGTAACATGGCAGTCAAAGGACGTGTGTGTGTATGTATGTATTCCTACTGATGAATGAAAAACACCAACATTCCCGTAGGAAAATAGGCAAATTCACATAAAAAATAAGACATTTAAATGGCCAGAATTGCATGATGGACACCTCTGAGGCAGCTTCCTAACGGGTGGATGGGTTAAAGATTACACCCAACTGTCCAGGCAGCTGTGGGATGTATAGCACTGTGGTGCCTCACGGTGACCCCACAGGGTGATTCCTACTGTTGCCTGGGCCTGCTTCTCCGCCCATCTAATTGAGGGGGCAGACTGGGCGGTCCGTATGGGCCTTGAAGGTTCCCACCTTCTATGTTCTTTCACCCTGTGACTGGGAGGCAGGAGGGTAGAGCCTACAGTTGTGCATGGGGCAGCAGGTATTAGGGCATATGGTATCAGATGGGCTAGTCCAGAAGGCCTTAGGGAAGTATTGGGCACACACAGCAGGTGCCTCCTCTGGCCCTGATGGTCTGGGACGGTTTTAAAGGAAGTGACATCTGGACCAAGGCCTGAAGAGTGATTAGGAGTTAGCCAGAGGGAATCTCAGAAGGAGAATAGTGTGGAAGAGACCTGGGCCAGGAAAGGTGATCAAGTGTTGGTGATCAGGATGTCTGGAAGTGAGGAGGAAGAGGGAGCCAGAGGTGAGACAGGAGATCCTAGCGGGCCCTATCACGAGAGGCATAAAGCCAGAGTCTGGTCTCTTCTGAAGGTAGTACAGAACTTCGGAAGAACTCGACAGACCCCCGGCTGCAGGATTAACTTGCTTAATCCCCACAAAGCTCTGTGAGGCAGGAACCTTATCCTGAGCAAAGAAGTGGTGCAGTTTGAATTTCAAGCCAAGTCCGTGAATCCAGAGCCTGGGCCCTTAACCACTATAGAAACATTTCCTTAACCCCACTCCATTGTAGAACACCCTTTAGTTTTCCTGTGTTCTCTGTGTTTTTTTCATACCCATTATTTGCTTAATAACTTTTTTTTACTTGGTCTTATTTAATAATATTCAGGAAGTGATGTGTGGGATGTACAGGCTAGTCTTTTTTTTTTTTTTTTTTTTACAAATAGTTTATTGTCAAATTAGTTTCCACATAACACCCAGTGCTCATCCCCACAAGTGCCCTCCTTCATGCCCATCCCCCTTCCCCCCCACATCCATTAGTCCTCAGTTTTTGTCAGCATTCAAGAGTCCCTCATGGTTTGGTTTGCCTCTCTCCCTTTCCCCCACCGTTTCCCCCCTTCTTCTCCCCTTGTTCCTCAGTTAAGTTCCTCCTAATCCTCCTATACGTGCAAACATATGTTATTTGTCCTTCTCTGCCTGACTTATTTCGCTCAGCATAACACCCTCAAGGTCCATCCATGTTGCTACACATGGCCAGATTTCATTGTTTCTCATTGCCATGTAGTATTCCATGGTACAGACAAACCACATCTTGATCCATTCGTCCATTGATGGACACTTAGGCTCTTTCCATGTTTTAGCTATTGTGGAGAGTACTGCTATGAACATTGGGATACATGTGCTCCTATGCATCAGCATTTCTGTATCCCTTGGGTAAATTCCTAGCAGTGCTATTGCTGGGTCATAGGGGAGTTCTATTGTTAGTTTCATGTACAGACTAGTCTTTTCCTCATGTGTTAAAATAAATTTGTTAAAAAATATTTGCCCACGCTTTGGAAAACTGCCATTACTACCCCAGAGCTTTCCGATCAATGTGCTGCAGCCTGTGTGCCATTAATAAGGTACAGATATCTCTGCTGGCAAGCAGCTTCGTGTTTCTACTCCGATCTGCTGTACACATGTCTACCATACCACAAAAAAGCTTGGGAAGTAGTGTTTAACACTCCAGCCATGAGAAAGCAGTCAACAATTCAACAAATACCTCCCAGGCTCCTATGCACTGTGCTCTGGACATAGACTAGTGAACAGGACAGAAGTGATCCCTTCTTGCATAAAGGTTTTTGTCTGTTGTGAGGGCAGACAGTAAATAATAACAAAGAAGACAAGTATCAAGAAAAAGAGTACCATAGGATTATATTGCAAGGGGACAAGCAAACCTAGTCTGATGACATTTAACTTCAGAACTGAAGGGGGATGTAGGATTTACCAGGGAGAAAGGGTGCAGCAGGCAAAGGGAGTTGCCTTTGTGAAGTCCTGGAAGTCAGAGTGGTGAGTTAAGAAATTAAGAGATACCTAAATTAAAAAAAAAAAAAAAATTAAATGTTTATTTACTTTTGAGAGTGAGGGGGAGGGGCAGAGGTAGGGAGACACAGAATCTGAAGCTGGCTCCAGGCTCTGTGGAGCCTGACATGGAGCCTGACATGGAGCTTGAACCCATGAACTGTGAGATCATGACCTTTAGCCACACAGGTGCCCCAAGAAATCAAGAGATAATCTAGATCGAGGGCGCCTGGGTGGCTCGGTTGGTTGGGCATCCAACTTCGGCTCACGTCATGATCTCATGGCTCATGAGTTCGTGCCCTGTGTCAGGGTCTGTGCTGACAGCTCAGAGCCTGGACCCTGCTTCAGATTCTGTGTCTCCCTCTCTCTCTGCCCCTTCCCCACTCATGGTCTGTCTTTCTCTGTCTCAAAAATAAATAAACATTAAAAACATTAAAAAAGAGATGCCTAGATCAGGAAGATGAAAGAGAAAGGGGGTGGTTCTCAAGTAAGGCTAGAGAAGTAGACAGGGTCTTGATCCCAGAGGTTCTGGACTCTGTTTTATGAGCAACTTTGGAAATGTTTTAAATGGAGATATGCAAGAAGACACATCGGTAGCTCAAGGGCAGGGCAGAGTAGGTACTAGCTAAGGAGTCATGCAGGAATGGTGGCTCTCCTTGGAAATTCTGAATCAGAAAACGTGTAGTGGAGGTTTAGAATCTATTTTTTGTTTACAGGAATCTTTAGTGCTTCAGCTTTAGCAAGTTGTTCACTAGTCCTGGTGTCCCCCACATGTATTCCTTGTCTGTGAGCCCTGGTAATCTGAAAGTTCTCTGGTAGCCGGGAACTTTTGTCTTGGTCATCACTGTACTCCCAGTACTTGGCACAGAAATGCCCAATAATTATAGATTAACTTGCATTGGATAGTTATGGTTTTGTTCATTTAAACAAATATTGACTTGTGTACTGTGAGTCAGATCCTGGGAGCACAGAAGTACGAAAGGAGTTTGCATTCAGACAGAGAGCAATAATTGGATGCCTCTCAAAGAGCTACCTTCAGTGAGTTATTTTGATACCTTTGAGTCTGATAGTCATAGGAAACTAACTTAGTCTAGCCTGTTACCTATATATTATTTAACTTGTTATCTGCATGTTATTTACTAAGGTCACACTCCTGTGTTTTATATTTGCAGCAAATCCAGAGCAACTTCATCGTTGTCATACACCCCGGTTCAACAACCTTAAGGATTGGTCGAGCCACAGACACACTTCCTGCTAGCATTCCTCATGTAATTGCACGAAGACACAAACAACAAGGGCAGCCACTATACAAGGACAACTGGCTCCTAAGGGAAGGACTAAATGTAAGTCAGAAATGGAGGATCTGGAGAGAAAGCCCAAGGTGGTTTCTTTGGGAGAGCTTACACATTCAAGTGTACACTGTGTACTTGAATAAACATCTATATCTTCATAGCTTTAATGCATTTTAAAATAATAACATCATTCAGGGTTACAAGTAGCATTTTTCATCTGAGCTAGCGGTATTAGATTGTAAAGAAATAGTTATAACACAAGTAAATCAAAATCATTTTTTACCCATCAATATGAATTGAGTATTGATGAAGGTGATCTTTTAAAAAAAAAATTTTTTTTAACATTTATTCATTTTTGAGACACAGAGACAGAGTGTGAGTAGGGGAGGAGCAGAGAGAGAGGGAGACACAGAATCCAAAGCAGGCTCCAGGCTCTGAGCTGTCAGCACAGACCCTGACGTGGGGCTTGAACTCACGGGCTGGACCACGAAGTCATGACCTGAGCTGAAGTCGGACACTTAACCAACTGAGCCACCCAGGTGCCCCTGATAAAGGTGATCTTTAATGGATGACACAGAATTGCCACTCACTTAAAATAAGGCCTTAAGGTCTCTATTAACTGACTGCCATATTTTTCTCTTCCAGATACTTACAGTATATATTGAGCTTGTATTTTCAATCCATAAGTAAATTGATTGTTATAATCAGTTACTACAATCTTAGATCGAATTATAACTTGAAGGCAAAACTATACATATCCTTGCAGGTAGCATTTACTTTATCCGATCTTGCAGATAGTAATTATGAGCAAAATATTTCTTGGTAGATGTTAAAATATATGTTTTGCTTTGTAATCCACTTTTAAGTTTTAGATTGAAGGTAGTTTTAGGAATTTGCAGTTTTTATACTTGAAATAGTAAACTTTAGGGTTTTTTTTTTTTTTTTTTTTTTAAGCATAACTGGAAGACTATGTAAGTCCATTTCTAAGCCTAAATGTAACTTGAGGGTATAAGAGTCTAAATTCATTTATATCTTTGGATCTTATAATTCTTTTGTAGGGCATAAATCTCAGGATTAAAAGTTGATAGAAAACAATAACTTTTTCACAGAGGTATTTACAGATCTGTTCTTTATGTCACAGCAACTTGAATACCTGCTGATTAAACAAAGTAGCACAGGAGTGGATGTAACATTGTTACAAAGGCAAAAATATGTAGATGTATGGAAAAGTCTCTGAAATACTTTATAAATACAAAGTAGCTATTCTGATTAGTGCTATGAAAAATTTTGTCACTCAGACTTCTTTGAGGTTATAGATTTTTGCAAATAGTTGCCTTTATAGTGAGGGTTCCTTTCTGACTTATGTATAAATTGTAAAAAGATTACTTTGACTTCTTAAGATTGATACATATGGCAAAAATTAAGGAAATACTGCTACTTGTTGATGAGGGAGCATTTCTTCTTGGTGGATTAAATTTACTAATTTAAATTTACTAATTTTCCTTTGATCTCCTAGCCTTTTCCTAACCCTTTCCTTGCTCCTACATTGGCCAGCGTGGGCCTTCTCTCCATGTCATCCCCATAGGAAGGTGCCCCCCCCTCTCCCATCTGCCTGTAGCATGTATCCAAGGCCAGAGCTCTGGATTGCAGACTGGGTCGGTGCCTCCTCTGCCTCAGGGGCATGGGAGCTGGGAAGGGGCTTTTAAGAAATAGTAAAAGGAAAAATAAAGTCTTTGGAAGTTCCCACCTACTCAGATCCTCGAAGGTTGCAAGCTATTGATGATGTAGATTCATTAGCAATGTCTCCTTGCCAGCCAGGGCCAAGCCCCAGGCCTGCTGAATGCAGAGGCCCTCCTAGTACCCAGGTTGCCACCACCCCAGGGGCCCTGTCTTACAGAGGCCAGGCCTGAGGCTGCCGATTTCTGGGGCAGCCACCATGGAGAAGCCCTTCTCAGGGGCTAGAACTCCTTTGCCAGCATGGATTCATGTCGGGACTGCATAACTAAAGCAGTTGCAGTTTAATTTTTTTTTTACAGCTTTTTTCCCCAAAAATGATTTGTAGTTCTGTGTTCAGCACCTTGCCCTACAATGTGTGCTCTACAATAAAAACCAAATCTAATATATTTTGAAAAAACATTGCCAAATTGCTTTCTTTTTTCACCAAATCCTTTGTACTGTTCATCTTTCACTTTTTTCTCCCAGAAACCAGAAAGTAATGAACAAAGACAAAATGGCCTTAAAATGGTGGATCAAGCAATATGGTCTAAAAAGATGTCAAACGGTACAAGACGGATTCCTGTGTCCCCTGAACAGGTTTGGTCTTAACTGTTTCTTCAGATTCACTCTTTAACTGCCATTCTGTCATAATGCCATTTATGTGCTCTCTCAATTTCAGTATGCAAATTAAAGGGATTTTCTTAAAAAAGGAAGAAAAACCATTCATAACCACCTACAGAATACCCAAATCACTGTCACAAAAGCTTGGGCATGCTGAATAATTTAAAAGATGATGTTTCTTATGGCAAGTTGATAAAAACTTATAGTTTACCTGAGAGTCTTAAGTGTATAATTCCAGGATCTGTAAGAACATGGGAAGCTATGTTCTTACTACATTTGTCATTTTGATATGATAAAAAATAGGAGTGGACATGAGTTGGTATGATACATAAATGTGTATTCAGCATTAAGCAGAGTGCCGTAGTAATTTTGGACTGGCTAGGAATCACAGCCTAGGTGTTAAAACCATGAGGAAAAAATGACAATTGTGGAAATGGCCAAGAGAATCTTTCTGTGACCAGTCAGTATTTTGCCAAATATTTAAGGCTTGTGGTTACATTTTGCTACTGTATCTGGTCTGTGAGAGAGGAGAAAAGAGGACTCATACTACATTTGTCCTTCCCCCCTCTTCTTTTTTCTTGCTTATATTCAAAGACTTTTCTGATGTTCTTTTGTTTCAGGCACGTTCCTACAACAAGCAGATGCGACCTGCAATTTTAGATCACTGTTCTGGAAATAAGTGGACAAACACATCTCATCACCCTGAATTTTTGGTGGGAGAAGAGGTAGGGAACTTTGCAGCACCATCCAGTTCTAGTTGTTTCCTAGAATTCCTCATCTTCCTTGCAGGCCCAGATACTCACACAGGCTCCCATGATGTTAGATACTCCAGTCAACATTTAGAATAGTGAGCAGATGGGGAGCCTGGGTGACTCAGTCGGTTAAGCATCTGACTTCAGCTCAGGTCATGATCTTATGGTTTGTGAGTTTGAGCCCCACATTGGCCTCTGTGCTGACATTTGGGAGCCTGGAGCCTGCTTTGGATTCTGTGTCTTCCTGTCTCTTTTCCTCCTCCACTTACTCTTGTCTTTCTCTCAAAAAAATAAACATTAAAATAAATTAATTAGAATAGTGAGCAAATATTAATCATAACTCTGGCCTCAGGTTTTTAAATGTGAATCCAGAAAATGCCCAAGAAAAGTTTTAACAATGTGTTCATCTCCCTGTCTTTTCTAGGCATTATATGTTAATCCATTGGACTGTTATAATATTCACTGGCCTATCAGAAGAGGTCAGTTAAATATTCACCCAGGACCTGGGGGCTCCCTTACGGCTGTTTTGGCAGATATTGAAGTAATATGGTCTCACGCAATCCAAAAATACTTGGAAATTCCACTCAAAGATTTAAAGGTGAGCTAGGGGCGCCTGGGTGGCTTAGTCGGTTAAGCGTCCGACTTTCGCTTAGGTCATGATCTCGCGGTTCGTGGGTTCGAGCCCCGCTTTGGGCTCTGTGCTGACTGCCAGCTCAGAGCCTGGAGCCTGTTTCAGAGTCTGTGACTCCCTCTCTCTCTGACCCTCCCCTGCTCACGGTGTCTCTCTCTCCCTCTCCTAGAAATAAAAAAAAAAACATTAAAAAAATTAAAAAAAGATTTAAAGGTGAGCTAAAATTCCTAGTTACTTGGATTGTCTTTAAGAGCCTTGGTCAGTAAACGTACATATTATTGAGTTGTTTGTAATCTAGTGTCCTTGAAGCATTTTCAGCCTTAAGGAATGGAGGGGATCTTCCTTCTTCACTGACTTCAGCTCTGGTGCCTTCTCTTTTTCTTACTGTTTCTTTGGTGTCTCTCTCTACTGCTCTGCAACCAGCAACTTGCTCATGTCATGTTGATGCCTTCTCTCTGGACCTTTTTCAGGATTTATGTTTTGTCTTATTTTTAATTTCACAGGGTTTTTTTTGGTTTTTTATTTTTCTTTTTTAATCGAAGTATAATTGACATTTAATGTTACATTAGTTTTAGGTGTACAGCACAGTGATTTGGCAACCCTATGCATAATGCTGTGCTTAATCCAAGTGTAGCTACTGTCTGTCCCCATACTGTGCTCTTCCTGTACTGAGAACTATGTTCCCTATGCTGTATTTTTCATTCCCATGACTTATTCATTTCATAACCGGAAACCTCTGTCTCCCACTCCCCTTCACCCATTCTGCCTATCCTCCACCCTCCTTGCCTCTGGCAACCACTATTTTGTTCTCTGTATTTATGGGTCTGTTTCTGCTTTTTTTTGGTTTTTCATTTGTTCTATATTTTAGATTTCACCTAAAAGTGAAATTGTATGTTATTTATCTTTGACTTATTGCACTTAGCATAATACCTTCTAGGTCCACCCATATTGTTGCAGATAGCAAGATCTCATTCTTTTGTATAGCTGAGTAATATTCTATTATATTATATACCAACCTTCTTTATCCATTTATTTATCAGTGGACACTTAGGTTGCTGCCATATCTTGGCTATCGTAAATAATGCTTCACTGAAATTAGGAATGTATATATTTTTTCAAATTACTGTTTTAATTTTCTTTGGGTAATAGTAGTGGAATTACTGGATCGTGCGGTATTTCTATTTATAAATTTTTTGGAATCTCTATTCTGTTTTCCATAGCAGCTGTACCAATTTACATTCCCACCAACAGTATACAAGGATTCCTTTTTATTTACATCCTTGCCAACACCTGTTATTTCTTGTCTGTTTGATACTAGCCATTCTGACAGGTGTGAGGTGATAGCTCATTGTGGTTTTGATTCTATTTCCCTAATGATTATTGATGTTGAGCATCCTTTCATGTGTCTGTTGGCCATCTATATGCCTTTGGAAAAACATGTCTATTAAGGTCTAATGCCCATTTTCTAATTGGATTATTTGTTTTTCCAGCGTTGAGTTGTAGAAGTTCTTTATAGATTCTGGCTGTTAACCACTTAACAGATATGTCATTTGCAAATACCTTCTCCAATCAGGTAGTTTGCCTTTTCGCTTTGTTGGTGGCTTCCTTATGCAAACTTCTTATTTTGGTGTAGCTCCAGTAGTTTATTTTTGCTTTTGTTTCCCTTGTCTCAGGAGACAAGAAATATGTTGCTAAGGCTGATGTGAAAGAATTGCTGCTTGTGTTTTCTTCTAGGAGTTTTATAATTTCTGGTCTCACATCTATGTTTTTAATCCATTTCAAATGTATTATTGTGAATGGTCTAAGAAAGTGGTCCAGTTTCATTCTTTTGCATATAACTGTCCAGTTTTCCAAGCACCATTTGTTGAAGAGGATTTTTCCCATTACATATCCTTGCCTCCTTTGTCAAAGTGACCATATATGTGTGGGATTATTTTTGGGTTCTATTCTGTTCCATTGATCGATATGTGTAATTTTGTGCCAGTACCATACTGTTTGATTATCATAGCTTTGTAGTGTATTTTGAAATCTGTGATACCATTTCACAAGTTTTTAATAATTTAAAGGTAAAAAAATCCTCACACAACTTCAACATTTCCTGTTTTCAAAAACCCAAAAGATAGCAGATGGTTTTGAGATTTTGTTTCGCACCCCTAATCGTTGCTGCCATCCTTTAGATTGAATCCTCTCTGAAGACAAATGTAGTGACATTTATTTTGATCTGACTTTAGCATTAACTGTTTTATCTTTTTTTCCTTCGTTTATCTTTTCAGTATTATAGATGTATCTTGCTAATTCCTGATATCTATAATAAACAGCATGTGAAAGAACTAGTGAATATGATCCTCATGAAGATGGGTTTTTCAGGTATGTCTAATATTCCAGAGAAATCTGCTTGAAATGAGACTGTTTTTCTGTTTTTATTGACAAAGTTAATCTAATTCACTCCTTTATTGAAATGTTTATTCTGAGAGGATCTGCTGTGCTTGGACAATTGCTCAGGGGGTTCTAGACTTTAACTGATGATTTGTCATAGGATCTTGACTGCCGCCCAGCTGATGGCTCCTCTGCCTTTGTGTCTCAGGGATTGTGGTCCATCAGGAGTCTGTGTGTGCCACCTTTGGAAGTGGTTTAAGCAGCACATGTATCGTAGATGTTGGTGACCAGAAGACAAGTGTGTGCTGTGTGGAGGATGGGGTCTCTCATCGGAATACTCGGTAAGGACCTTGGAAGGTGGCTTTCTCTGCTGCTTCTCCCCTCACAGACTGTTCAGCTATAAAGCATCACAAGTTAGAAGCGAGATTTTTATAAGGAATTATATTCACTCTTGTGGAAGTACAAATTCTAGCAAGGCTACAGACCACTAATTTTACCTTTCCTGTTGGAATTCTCTGCTGTGAGTTCACATCAGCAGCTCCTGAAAATCCCAGCTTGTGTCGTATGCCTTCCCACAAAAGTTAGCCCTGTGTCTTGTTGTGGTCTGGTGTAAAGATATCAATTATGCTCATAGCAAAGTTTTATTTAGGCAAGTCATGTAGGGGAAAATAGATTTTCAGGTCTAAATTCTCTACCTAGCTAGCTTTTGCTTTTGTTGTAATTGTTCAGAGAGTGATGAGTAGCTTTCTTGTCCAGTCTCTTTGTGATGTCATTACTGATACAAGAGATAATAAAATAATTATCAGGCTCAGGTTTACTGCTTGTACTTTCTGAGACCAGCCCAACACAGGTAAGCACACTCAGGCAGTGCACATACAGGTTCTCTGCAGCATTTTGTGCTTCCAGGATGGCTTCTTCAGGATGCGGTAGCTCTTCTTTGTCCGTCACATAGGTGGTTTGAGTCACAGGGCAGAGAAACATTGGAAAGAGAGCCTAACCAGTCCATGAGAAAGGTTAATCTCTGTTGCTTCCCACCCCAAGTTACGGTGCATTCGAAAACCCACTGTGTTCTTTTGGCTCATCCATTGTTTGTATTACCTGATGCCATTGGTTCTCAAAATGTGTAGAAAATACTGGACCTAGGTCTCCCACTTCTAAAATAACATAGCAGTGTTCTTTCCAAATTGTAGAACCACTCAATTAGTGGGTAGGGTATTCTTTAAAGTTTCTTCTCGTGAGTTTGTCCTATGATGTCACTGCCTGTGAACCTGATATGCTTGTGAGTATAGACAGGCAACCAAACATCGTATGTTAAACATAGTGACTTAGAAATGAGCTGCATTTAGTCATGTGTATTCTGTTTCTTGGAGACTTTTTGCAAATAGCATGACTGCTTCTAGGTGCCCGCCCCTAGCTGGAGTCCATTTCTCCATCCCATCCGTACATCCTGTCCTTTCAGTCTATTCCTGCAACAGATATCTTTGGAGGCTTGTCATGTTTCCCTGTGGGTGATGGAGTTTTTGAAATGTCCTTCACACCTTCTTGACCAACAGATTACCCACCTGCCTTTTCTTTTAACCCTAGGCTCTGTCTGGCGTATGGGGGCTCTGATGTGTCAAGGTGTTTCTACTGGCTGATGCAGCGAGCCGGGTTCCCTTACCGGGAATGCCAGCTAACAAATAAAATGGATTGTCTTCTTCTACAGCACCTTAAAGAAACTTTCTGTCATTTAGATCAGGTAGGGGCAAAATCAAAATCACTGATTATTTTTGTTTCCAGGAAGAAGGTTAGATATTTAAAGGCAGTTGAAAACGTAACAGTATTATGCCACCCTTTCAACCCAAGTTGACAGAGCCTTGAGGTGGAAGCTCTTAAGGAGCGAGGCTGTTTGGGTAAAAGGTCAGAGCTGTCAGAATGTGTCTCAGGCTCTAGAAAGTACAGCTGGCTTTTTTAAGAAAGTGTCTTTAAGAAATTTCTTTTTAGGATCTTTGATCATTCTGATAAAGGTTGAAGATACACCTTTAGATGTAATAAATATATAGGTGCAGACATTTAATAAAATGGTATCATTTGAAGCACTTAGCATTGCAAACGTTATATGTGGACTCCTACCTTTTTATTCATTCTGTTTCAGACTTTTTTTTCCTAACATTTTTCAAACTATCTAATTCTGAATAATGAAATTTTGAGGAACTTAAGACTGGGTAGCACTTCCCAGTTATTGAGGAAATTTGCTTTTTGATTTGGGTAATTGTATTAGTATGTCTTGATAATGAAGAAAAAGCAGATGGTAGAAATCTCAGAAATGTTAAAAGGGAAGCAAGGTACATTTTGACTCTTATTAAGTTTCAGGTGGAATGGTACTAAGTTGCAGGGCAGCCTTGTTATAAGTGAGTTGCGGATTATGGAGAGGCTTAACTATAATTTGAGGAGTTTACATGCACTTTTACTGGCTCACTGACAGCATCTTTTCCTGGAATCAGGACATCTCTGGGCTTCAGGATCATGAGTTTCAGATTCGACATCCAGATTCTCCTGCCCTGCTTTACCAGTTTCGATTAGGAGATGAAAAACTCCAGGTAACACATGGGTGTGTATTTCCATGGGTAGAAAGAAAGCTGACCTCGTTCACTCAGACTGAGAGAACATGCACTTGTGTGAAACCTCGTGAGGTTAGAGTGTCACCTGGTATAGATTAGCAGTTCTGTTTTTTTAAAAAACTGGTATTTTGTTTAGTGTTTATTTTTGAGAGAGAGAGCATGAGTGGCGGGGGCGGGGCGCGGGGGGGAGGCACGGCAGAGAGAGAGGGAGACAGAGAATCCAAAGTCGGCTTCATGCTGTCAGTGCAAAGCCCGGCATGGGGCTTGAATCTATGAACAGTGAGATCATGACCTGGGCCAAAGTTGGATGCTCAACCGACTGAGCCACCCAGGCACCCCTGCTAAACCAGCTTTTAAGCCACTGATAAAGTACAGATTAGAATAGATAATGGGGACCATCTTTTTAATTAGCTGCTATATATGATCTGTTATTATTTAGAGAGGGAAGGACTGTTCTTATTAGGAAATTATAAAGTAGCTTATGAGGCATTTGCATTACATTGGCTTTGACATTTCTCTTTGTGGTGTCACATCACTCATTCAGTTGGATGATTTCTGTAAGTTTTCTGGCATCCTCTGCAATGAAGAAATAAGGCTACTCCCGAAAGAGAATGCTTATTGAGTCTGCCTTCTAGCATCTGATCTGCCAGTTTTGTTTTGGGAAGAACAGAATTTAATGGATCAGTTTTTTTCAGAAGGCCAAGTGTCCTTGGCTCATCATTCTTTTCCTTCCTTGTGCAGGCTCCAATGGCTTTGTTTTACCCAGCAACTTTCGGAATTGTTGGACAGAAGATGACAACTTTGCAGCACAGATCCCAGGGTGACCCTGAGGATCCTCACGATGAGCATTACCTGCTAGCCACACAGAGCAAGCAAGAACAGGTCTCTGGTCATTCCGGTGTGAGATGAGACCGCTGTGTCCCTGCAGAAGCTTGCCCACGATTAGTGAATCGTTGCAGTCACTGCAGTCTGACTGCATACTGAAGCTAATCCTGTTTTTAGAACTGGAGATGTAATGAAGTCTAAATTAAAATCAGATGACAGATTTCTTCATTCAGCAGACATGAATCCAGTTTTCAGAATACCAGTCCACAAATTTAAAAGTTAATTTAATAAAGATATTTATCGTTGGTGTATAAATTATCTACTTTTGAATATTTATCCAGTAGTGAGTATTTTTAATAAAATCTCACCAGTTTTTAAAATTGTAACGTAAAAGGTATGTGGCCTTGGCAAAGAGCTGAATTCTATTGTCCAGAGCTGATGATCCAAGTAATAGGATGTCTGATGCAGGGGCACAAATGAAAGCTCTTCTCTCCCAGTGAAATAGCAGCTTATGATGGAGAAAGGAGGACTTATCTACCTTTTCTATTTTCTAGTCTTTGTCCCTGTCCCAAAGGTGAGCATGAGGTGGTTGGATAAGGTCTGAAAATGAGGATTAGGTAGTAACCACAGGCACAAGTTCTACTGAAATACTCTACCTAAAAACTCATTTCAAGGGGGAAATGTCCATGTACACTGTCATTTCAATTTTAAAATCCAACCAGTAAGAGTAAAGTTGTGAGACTTGCCCTGCCTGCCTATGGCTGCTTTGGAATTGTCAGCACACCCTTACCTTTTGTATACCACCTCTCACTCCTAGGTGATCTGGGAGTGGGTGCAGTTGCTTGGTCACATGCTAGGGTGTATTCCTTCCCTGCACCACAGTGTTGGGCCTTTGCTTTATAGTATAAAGTAGTGCGGTAGGGAGGGGTGGGGTCTAGCTGGAGAACATCAGCACCATTTTCTTATAGTCATATCATCCACTTGGTTGTCCTTTTGTTTGATTTAAAGTCTGCAAAAGCTACAGCTGACCGAAAGTCTGCATCCAAACCCATTGGATTTGAAGGGGATCTTCGTGGCCAGTCATCTGATCTTCCAGAAAGACTCCATGCCCAGGAGGTGGATTTGGGATCCTCCCAGGGAGACTGTCTGATGGCAGGCAATGAATCTGAGGAAGCTCTCACAGCACTGATGTCCAGGAAGACTGCCATCTCGCTGTTTGAAGGGAAGGCCCTGGGCCTGGATAAAGCCATTCTTCACAGCATAGACTGCTGTTGTAAGCACGTTGTAAGATAGCAGTTAGGTGAATTGGTTCAGGCTAGGGTTTGGTTGTGCGGTGTAGTGTATCTATTGAAAAACTGTTGAGCACATGCTTTGTGCTTGCGTTGTCCAGTGTTAGGAATTGGCTCCTGGCCTCCTTGAGCATATAGCCTAGTGGAGGAAACCAAAGAGTTAAATTGTCACACAAATGTGAAATTACAACTATGACAGGTGCTTCAAAGTTGAACAAAAGGGAAAGTTAGCTGACTTTGAGAGCTTCTGGTTGAGGGATTTAATAAGGGATTTTTATTGGTAGGAGGAGGTATGGAGGGTGAGAGGCAGGGAATCTTTTCTTAGGGAAGAGCCGTTTGAGAATGAGCTAGGAGGTGAGTGGGTCACCAGGTGGCATTCCAGGCAGAGGAAGAGGCCTGTGTGGAGGCCAGTGTGGCTGGGAGGTAAGATGCCAGGATGGGGCTGGAGAAGTGCAGTACATGTCACAGTGGACTTTGTAGGCTCCTGTAGAGATTTTGGTCCTAATCCTGCAAGTCACAGGGTAGGGGGTGCAGCAGCATGCTCACATTGGCGTTGGTGTTTTGCAGGGTTCTGGCTGCATTGTTGAGGGTGGGTTGGAGGGAGAGCTTTGAGGAGGCTCAGTTGTCCCAAACAAGAGATGGTGGTGGTTTGGCCTAATGGTGGATATGGAGGAGAAGAATAGAAGGAGTATCATTGTCTTTTCAGCATCTGATGATACCAAAAAGAAGATGTACAGTTCCATCCTGGTGGTGGGAGGTGGTTTGATGTTTCATAAAGCTCAAGAATTTCTGCAGCACAGAATTCTCAACAAAATGCCACCCTCATTCAGGCGAATTATCGAGAATGTGGATGTGATCACAAGGCCCAAGGTCTGTTGTTCATGGTGCAATTGGATTGTACATGAATGAAACCAGTACTGAAAGGTGTGAGCTTGCATCTGGACAGCTCTTGAGGGTGTGGGGAAGTGGAAAGATTTCTTTCAGTAGGTCACAGATTTGGTGCAAGGAACTCTGGGTTGGGCTCCTGGATTCCTGTGTGTTAGACCCTGCTGTGCTCTCCAGACCAGCATGGTTGACTCCCAGAAGCCAGGCCTTTGGAAGAGGACTGTGTGGGCAAGAAGACTGGCTGGTCTCTGCCAGAAAAACTTTAGTTTTAGCTTCCATGTTAAGGATCTGTTGCTGGTCCCTGGACCAGGGCATCTTTAAGGATTCTTCTGACTTAAACTTATCTCAGAAAGAAATAGAAACCCAGGAATTTAGAAAGAGATTGTATCTGTATTTCATTGTATCCCACAAACAATTCCTGGGAATGTTCTTACTTAATTTTAATCCTGAGGGAGGGATTATGGAATACATTTATTACACTCTAACTTCAGAATAAGTAATTTCCTTATGTCTGTTTCTGCATATGGAGCCTATTGGTGAAATAATAGTGAATAGTAGGATTTTCAATAATAAACACTAAAAAGTTTTCCTATCAGTTGGAACAGAGAGATGTCTGCAGTTCACGGGTCCTGCATGGATGTGTCTTTAATACAGGTTAAAAATCTGAGTGTTTAAGTATTGATTCAGGTTTTTTCTACTCCCAAATTCAAGGAAATTAATTATTAAATATACGTCTTGTCTGCTTTTTGCTCTAGGACATGGATCCCCGGCTGATTGCTTGGAAAGGAGGGGCCGTGCTGGCTTGTTTGGACACGACACAGGAACTGTGGATCTATCAGAGAGAATGGCAGCGCTTTGGTGTCCGCATGTTACGAGAGCGAGCTGCTTTTGTGTGGTGAAAGTGGGCAGGAAGTCAGTGTTGAAGACCAAAAATAAGCATCCTGGTATAAAGACTCTTAAAGAATATATGTATTTTAATTTATTGACTCAGATGCTTAAGTTTTGTGGAAAATAAATGAATTTTAACTTTTATGTCGACAGCAGGTCTTTCGTGTGAAATTACAAGCTGCTTTTGTAGTCAGGACATTTAAGAATAAATGCGAACTTAGTCTTCAGCGGTAAACTCCCCCGCCCCTTTCTCAGGGTCACAGGAGCTCCCTCACGATGGGAAAGGTTGCTGTTGTGTGGTTCTTGTGTGTACGCCTTGGTTTAAGTTGACCTCAGTGTCATCGGACAATCTCCTGCAGCCATAGGGACGTGTGTATGACTTGTGTGCCTGAACCCTGAGGACTTTCTGGTCATGCCATTTCCCTCATGTGTTACAGCAGGCACACATGCTGTGACTCCTGTGTGCTCTTGGAATTCCATATAGGAAGAAAAGAAGGTTCTTTATTCTCTTTTTCTGTTGAATTACAAAAAAGATTGGGACCAGTTGAGGTCTGGATTTCCAGAGAAAGATTTAATGCTGGGTGGGCTGGCTTCTGTTACCCGACATGCTTCAGGGTGGGCTTGGGGAAAGAAAACAATCATTGACCAAAACAAAAACTGAGAAGGAAAATTTGTTTCCTTCCTAAAGCCAAATAGGAACAATTCAGGTATAATTTAGAGTTGTTAACTTGTGTCGTAATTACTACTAACTTAATCATTGAGCCCCCAGTTTTCTTATACTCATGGAACCAAGAAAGGTTTTGGTGCTCTTTGTGCTCAGTATGGTTATTTGACCTTAATCTGTGAGCGATTGAAGCAACATCTAAGTACAGACAGCTAGTAGCACCAGTGATCCAGGCCTTGGTGAAGGCCTTCTGAGCCCCTGGCCCCAGGAAGAGAAGGCATTGTCTGCAGATAAGCCAGTCAGCGAGCACAGTGCTGGAGGGCCAGAGACCTGGGAACCTGGGAGAGTGTCGGGTCCCTGCCACCCCAGGGCACCCGCTCCGCCAGAACTGGAGATGGAGAGGGACAGAGAGACGGAGAGACAAAAGTAGGGATGGATAGGAGGTGGAGGGAAGAGTGGCATATGGAAAGAACAGGGGTGTTTAGAAGTCTTAGGATGTGGAGAGATGCTGGTACCAGATAAGCTGCATAAATAGGAGAATCTTACATACCTGCTTAGGTCAGGAACAGAGAAGAGTCCACCAGTAAAACAAAACAACTCTAACATGTTGGCACTATTGAAGATGTGTGCCTTCAATTTGAAAATTGTGTTCTTTATTTTTTAAAAAATTTTTAACAGAATAAACTTATACGGTGTTGATCTTATTTATGTTTCTGGGCTGTTTCAAGACTATTAATGGCTACCTAATTCCAAAAGCAAAACATTATTTTTGTTTATAATCTTTTTTACATAATAACATATTGTTCTTGTAACTGGTAGATGTTGATTCAGAGGAAGTTGGTTTCTGATCCAAGTTTTGATACAAACCATGTCCGTCTTCTGTTACCAGCACTTTAATAAGCACCATGAAAACAGATCATGACAAGTAAGTGAGCTTAACCACATTAAACATTGCCTCAGCCATTATTAAGTATCTGCTTGGGTTGCTGAACATGGTGAGACATGAATTAGAATGGGTGGCATAGTCCTTTAAGGATAGTTTTGACACTTCACAAATATATTTTAACAGTCATCCACCTAAAACCGAGCCATGTCCTAGAGCAGATACAGTATTGTATGTGTGAAAGACCAGCATTCTTAGAAAAAAGGGCATAATATAAATATAAATAATATAAATAGCTCCTTGGTAACCTCTGCATTACAAAAAAGATACTTTCAGAAAAAGAAGTTGGAAGACTTAAAATACCATACATTTCTATGTTGTGGAGCTCTATGGTAATTTAAGTAAACCATTATAACTGATTTATAAAAAGACATTACTCAAGAGGGCTAACTTTCTAAAGAGCAGGAACTTTGTGTTTTGAACATGAAAAGTTAATATAATAACCAAGAAACTCTGAACTCTCGACAGTGACCTCTAATAGATAATTTTGGGCAAAAGTTGACACGAGATCTGCAAGTAATGTATATTGGTATCCATGTTAAGTCACCTGTACAAGAATCAGAGAGGACATGAATCTGGTTCAGAGAGGTCCTCTGCAAGTGTCAAATAGTACAAGTGGTCACACGTATGCTATGTCATCTGGTCAGCAGAGAGGAGTTCACCTCATTATTCCCTATTCTGTTTTCTTAAAAATGACTTATATGTATTAGACGGTTTTTCACCTATGAAGTTACTTGAGTGAATTAGTGAAGGCTTCTTAAATTTGATACTCCTTCAGTTTACTGTGTTACAGAAGTAAACAGTCTTACCTACAGTGCAGTGCATGGACTGTTCAAGACTGGATGTGTGGCTGGAAGATTCTTTATCATTTCATTATAAGAATGGTTATAGTTTTGCATTATTATTCTCCTTGATTTTCAGGTATGCAGCTGATTTATAATTATAAATTCAGTTTCTGTCCTTTCGTTATTGCTACAGTGGTTAGTATTTGTAACAGTTTTATTGGCATACAAGTTTTGATTAAACTAAGGCATAAGTATTCAGTTATGAATCCTCCCTATTCCTACTGCTAAATAAAGCAGGTATAATGTAAAATCCTCCCTGCACGTAGTCCATACAGGAAACTTCAGAATCCTGAGACACTTTCCCCCTGTAATGTGGAGGAGTAGGAAGGCTTCAGGGCCCCTCACTTCTCCCAGGTGGCCTACAGGGAACAGGCTGTCAGCCTCTTTCCTGCTGACACATGCTGCTCAACACGGAGAAGTTCTGTACAGAAAGCAGGAGCATCCTTCATGAGGTGGTACTTAGGGCAGACACTGAGTGCGCTGTACTCGTCTTTGGTATCTGTCTCTCTAAAATAGACCACCATGTATTTGCAAAGGGGAGTCTGGCTTCTCAGATCACTGCAGAAGAGGTTAAAGGCAAGGGGGAACAGGTCTTGGGAGTTCTCGTGGGGGCTGCCGTCACTCTTGTCACAGGTACCATCACACATGGTGTTGACCTCATTGGAAAGCAGGAAAATGACTTTATCCACTGCTTTCTTCTGAGTGGTAAGCCACTGCACTGGACCCATCTCCGCTATTTTCTTTTTCTGCCACTCTTCAAGAATAACCTCGCTTCTGCAGTGGTTTTGAAGAAACTCCGTGAAGTAACAGACTGTGTGATGGAAGCATATTTCAGATGGGAAAACCACAAGAACCTTAATTGGGGGCAGTAGGGTGGCAGTAGGGAAGGAGGCCTTCTTGGTCCTTCCTGTGGGGGGAGAGAGCGTTTGTTAGCTAGGAGCAGCACACAGCAGGCCGCCACTCCAATCTGAACCACTACTAGTAAACGAGCCCCTGCTAAGGAACGTTGGTGGAGTACCAAGGACGTTCCTGCCAGCAAGGAAAATACCCGCCACGTTCCTTTTGACCATATCACCTGCAACACGCTGATGTTTAAACCTTAAAAATGCTCTGAAAGATGTATTTTTTAAGTCCCCATCATGAAGTCAGTCTTCTTAAGCTATATCTCTTCAAATAAAGTTACAGAAACTGTTTAGGTTTGAGGTACTTTGTTTTAGGTGGATGGTTGTAACTAGTATTTTTAGTTTCCTATATAAACAGGGCTACCTGATCTCTGCCCTTCACATCACATTTTGAATTCAGTCAACTCAGTAATTGATCCATCTGATGTCTACAGGTGGTAGAGTCTTTTTGTGATTGTGTTAGGTTAACTGGTACCCTGTTTGAGCTGGAAGCTGGAATTCTGTCCTGTATGTGGTACAAAACAGAAACTACACATGAAAGTACTGTAACTAATACAGGCCAGATCACATCCCCTAAATAGAAGTATTCCAAGGTCAGAGTTCCACATGGCTTTCTTACTCAGGTTATGAGATTAATCTTGTTCTATCCACAACATCACAAAGGACTCAAAGGTTGCATTTTTTTCTCCACGTGGACAAGAGGAGAAGCAGTGGGTGTCCTTCTCGCTGTGTATCTGTATAAATACTCTGATTTCTGTATTCAAATCCTTGACGTTTTAAGAGTTGGCAAGCACCCTGAGGTATGTGAATTCAAGCGAGTGTTGTTCTTATGCTATGGAGCAATTATTTTTAAAAAGTAGGAACTAGCTTGGAGTACATGTTACAGGCAAAATGTGACTCACTATTCACTGTATTTGCCCATTGCAGTACTTGCAGGTGCCTCAGTGGTAAAAATGAAACTGGTGGCAGTCACTGGTTTGAGAGGTCCCCATCCCTGCTCTGCCTTGGCAGTTGTGACCCAGTCACCATTAGCAGTATTTTCGGAGAGTTCTACAGCGTTACATCAGTGCTACCTGACTCTTGTCTTAATGCCAAAATGTAACTGCTTCTAGAGGAATCTTCTTTAAAAAAATTCAAAGTGTTATTTCCTCATTCAGGTTTCTTTCTTTAAAGAACTGTAACACTTACTGTGCCTCCACAGCAGGTAGATCCCAGCCGCCAGCACCGCTGTGGCCCCCAGCAGGGCTGGGAGGAGGAGAGGCAGCCAGACACCCAACATGCTTCTGCCTGGAGAAAACCAAGTTGATTTACCTTCAGCAAAACAAAACCAAATTTATCTCCTTTTTGGAAACTTTGTAGAAGTTTAGATTCCTATAAAACCAAGGGTCATTAGATCTCTAGGGGGTCTATAGATTGGTACATTTTTCCATGGAGTGTCCAGGTCATTCGTTAGATTGTCAGAGGGATATGGGAGGCGTGCCCAGGTGGTTCAGATGGTTAAGTGTCTGACTTCAACTCAGGTCATGATCTCATGGTTCGTGAGTTCGAGCCCCACACCAGGCTCTGCACTGACAGCTCAGAGCCTAGAGCCTGCTTCAGATTCTGTATCTCCCTCTTTCTCTGCCCCTCCCCTGTTCATACTGTGTGTCTCTCCCTCTCTAAAATAAATAATAAACATTAAAAAAAAAAAGGCATATGGGACCCAGGAGGTTAAGAAAGTTCCAACAAATTCATTTTTGCTTCTCACTCCACATATATACAGGCATTTTCACCCTGGTAACTAGAGTTTGCATTCAGGTTTTTTGTTCTTTGATGAATTAATGTTATACTCAGTGTGGTTACTTAATACACAGCACAGACACATGCCATTTTTCAGGGCTGTTTTGTTAGACTGACAAACGGGGGTCGGGGGGAGGGGTGATGCCACCTCCCACAGGAATATTGGTCAGGTAAGCTCCAGAGTCCACAGGCCCTGTGCCCCCATAGTAGGCAGGACTGTTAGGCACCTGAGGTTGTTGGTGTGTTGGGGTGTTTCTGAGAGTAACACTTTGTAACTTTTGACTCTACCCTGGGGCAGTTCTGGGAACATTTTATTTGTCTGTAGTGAGAGAACTACCATCTCTAAATCCAGAAAGTCATTTTCCCAAACGTGCTGCTCTCAGGCATCAGTTAGGTGTGTCTTTGGGAACCAGTGTTCCTAATTAATTTGTGGCTGAGTGACCTCATCAAGTTACAGCAACGGTTAGGCCAGGCCACTGAGGCTGGTAAGAAAATCACAGTGCAGGGGCGCCTGGGTGGCTCAGTTGGTTAAGCATCCGACTTCAGCCCAGGTCATGATCTCATAGTTCGTGAGTACGAGCCCACGTCAGGCTCTGTGCTGACAGCTCAGAGCCTGGAGCCTGCTTCAGATTCTGTACCTCCCTCCCTCTCCCCTGCTTGTGCTCTGTCTCTCTCTCTCATAAATAAACATTAAAAAAAAAAAGAAAGAAAGAAAGAAAATCACAGTGTAGTTAATTGCACATTCCCTTATGGACTCAGTCCTTTAACGCTGTTGACTTTTCAGCAGGTCCTTGTAGCACAATGAACATCCATTCTGCACTGTTTATTTTCCCCCTTCATGTGTGCATCTGTTTCATAAAGGATCTTGTGGTGAATTCACAGATAAAGTCTCTATTCCCAGTCAGGTAGTGGGCTCTCTGGCACGGGTTGGACATCTTCCCCTGCACCCCAGCCTCCCACCGTGTCCACAGCAGGGACTCCTGCATCCTCCCACAGGCGCATGCCCACCCTGGCCCATAGCCTCTCTGACCAAATGGCTGGGCACTTACGACCATCCAGGGGGAAGGACACGCTGGTCTGTGGGCAAAGCACAACTGTTCCTTTGCGTCGGATGCAGTCATTGCCACAAGTACGGAAATACGGAGTCAGCTGAGGGAAAAACAAGAGGCTTGGGAAGCTCCCATCATGCTTCAGAGCAAAAGCTCAGCATGATGCCTACTTCCACCAAATGTCTCCCCTTTTCTCTCCTGGTTTGAACCACATCCCCACCGCAGCATTTTAAGAGGACATTTTCTGCCTTGGTCACACTTCCATAACAAACCCCTAAAATCCAAACCAGCAACCTAAGACCAAATGCCTTCTGACTCCTGAACTGTGAACCTAAACTTTGTACATGTTGCTAACATGTTGGTTTCCTTATCTAAAAGGATTAGGTCACAGGCTAATACATATACAAATATTTCCTCTAAAAAAACCCAAGCACTAGAGCCCCTGTTGACAGATATAGCCCCGGGACTAGGAAAGTCTGGTTTCCCGGAAGAGGTGCAGTCATAATCTGCTGACAGGTATCTGCTCCCTCTGGCATGTGCGAGTGCTACCTTTACGTTCCAGGGAATGGAAAACAAAAGCTCCTTATATCTTGGGTGTGGCTGTGGGCCTCTATGACCTTCCATGCCCCCACATCATAAACTCGGAGCTGAAAGAGACCTGAGAGCATCTGCCTGGTCCAGCTTCCTGTTTTCCAGCCGACGAGACTCAGGCCCTGAGAGGAACCCAAAGTTTATACCCTGATCAAAACCCAAACCTTCTGATTTTAAATCCTTTGTTGGTTCATTTTGCAGTGAAGATTAAGCTTGTGAACAATTAAATGGTACCCCTGTCTCAGAAGTTCTCTGAGGCTCTGGGACTAAAACAGAAAGTCAATGACCACTAATAAAAACAAAAGGGATCATGACACGAAGGTTTGCTTCTCCCCTTGCCTCCATAAGGACTGAGGCAAGGGATCCCTGCTTATCACTTAGTGCAGGCAGACCGGCAGCGGCAGAAGCGGACTGGGGGAGGGAGCTCATCGGAGCGGTGGGCGGTGCAGCAGCCAGTCATCCAGCGCCGCTGTCGTCCAGCGCCCCTGCCCTCGCCGACAGCTCCATGAGCCTTACCTGGACCACAGCACCTTCGATCTCCCCAGTCACTGGAATCACCACAGAAGTACGTGTTGGGGGTTTGTTCTGGGGCAGAAATTAAGTGAGACAAATGGAGAATCATGAGCCAGGGGAGCGAGAACAAAGACTGCCCATGAAAAGATTGCTCTTCCCAAACGAACTCTCAATTCATCAGACCGCGTGAATGAAGATTCATTTCCTACTTTGGACACATCTACCTCTGGTTGGTTTTACATTCTCAGGGACAGTTCCAGGGATGTTCCCAGGGACTTGGGACTTGTTTTTCTCTGTTAAATGAGTCAAAACTGCCCTGCATACCTGACCAGGGACAGTCCCACCTGTGCTCTGCTACCACGGAGAGCCAGAGGGGGCCTGCTTTTTTCTTGTCAGCAAGGTGAGCAAGGCTGGGGGTGGTGTTAGGAAACGGAGGGAAGAGGTACCTCCAGCACATTAGAAAACCCGATTACGATGCGATTCTGGATGAGAGCCATGTATTTGTTTCCGAGGGGGCTGGTTGTAAAATTCACTTCCACCGCCGTCTTGTTCTTCTTACAGGCAGTGATGTTCGGATTCCACAGACTTCCTGAGTTGAGAGAGAATCACATGGACGGAGTTGCAAACTGCCCCTCATTTAAGTCTCCCAAAGGGCTTGACCAAAACAAATCTAAGTTCTCAGGCATGCGTGCATCCAAGGGCTCTCCTGCACAGTGTACTTTTTATTAGTCCTTGCTCTCAGCATGTCAAAGTACCTGCTGCCCAAGAAAGTTTAGGGGCCCCATATTACCACTTTGCTGAGATAGCTTCCCTGGGCTGTGGGGGGCAAGGGGTGGCAGGCACAGATGGGGGGGTTCTATTAACTCCCTTCAGTTCTCAACATCCATTTTGAGTTAAGGGTTGAGGTCAGCATTTTCTCCCTTTCAGGAGGGGGAGGAGGAGCCCCAGGCCAGAAGAGAAGTCTAAGGTTATAGGGCGAGTGAATAACTGAAGCAGGACTATAGCTACTAGAACATGCTGGGTTCCAGGAACTTCAACCATCAGACCATGCTGTTGGCTTTACTGGATGTGAAGAAAGAAGGAAATGCCTCATTGCTTAGTAGATACCCTGACAGTCCTACTCAGTGATACACGGTCAGTTGTTTGATTTTTGTGACTTGCAAATCAGCACCAGGTTAATTTCCAGGAACAGAAGAGATGGGAGCGTGCGGTGTTTTCCCCACAGGGGAGAGCATGTCAGGCCCTAGCTCACAACTGTCTTTAGGAATAGGGGTCTAGGAGCGATGGAAGCTCTCAGAGCTCGCCGTACCCACTGTGCCCTCCACAGTCCAGAGCTCTCCTGGTGGGAGGCAAGAGAGAAAGCATAAAGCTCCAAGTCAGCCTTACCCCCAAGGAAGCTGTATGCAGTTCAGTCTGATGGGGTTGCACAGGGATGCCTGGTGGGGTGAGGGTGCCTAAAAGGTGCGAACTGGTTCCCTCCAGTGCCACTAGCCTCATTAGCATTATAAGACTCTATTACCCAGAAATGTACACACACTCTTGTAAAATTCTTGGAAATTGGACACTTAGGACTGATATCCTAAAGGCACCTATTTCAGAACTCCAAGGGTAGAGGCAGGTTCTAATAGTCTAGCCTGTGAGAGGTGAGCCCCAGTGAAGACACAGGTTGAGAATCTCCTTCTAGGTCATTACTTTAGCTAACACTCCCACCTCGAATATTTGCTAATCCAAATGGAAGGCCCACAGGTTCCCCAAGGCCAGAGGTCAGTGGAAGGACTTACAGATTTCCCTCCAGTCAGGAAGGGCCTTCAATCAGTACCACTGTAAGTGCAGTTTGGACAGTGGGTATCTTTCTGTGACTGTTGGCTCACTACCTAAACCTACTCAGAATCTGTCCTCCTCTGGACAGGTTGCTCAATGGAGTTGGCATTGTGCTGGCCGGGGACCAGCCCTCTCTGTGCAACTTGAACACAGAACTCCCCTGTTTTGTGGAAGATGGATCGGGCTGTGCTGCCTCCAGGTTCTTCTAATAACAAAGGCAAACATGTATTTACTTACCTGCCTCAATGCACTTTTTTTTGTATTTCATTATGTGGTCTAGGCAGCCTGGAAATTTGAATGGAAGTTTTTACATGTTAGAAGAAGGTATCTCTGCTCCACAACCTCGCCAGCAAGCACACATGCACACATGCATACCACACTCGTAACAAATTGCCAGAACATTCAACATGTGAGGTAAGATAACAAATTTAAATGAGACAATAACATTTGGCATTTGGTGGTTAAACAGAAGATTACCCACGAAGTGATAACCGGAGTCTAATTTAAATATAACCTTTATTAGAATAGTATCTCTGATCCCCAGGAGAAGACACAAACCCTTGAAAATGAGGTTTGATAATATATGTAAATACTGTCCCTTCCAGGAAATGGAACTCAATCCACCCCACACCCCTACCCCGGAGTAGGAGGAGATTTAGTCATTTGTTTTTTAAAAAAAAAAAAACTCATAGTAGAGAAATGGAAAATCCAGTAGATTTACAATGAAGGTGCCTGACAGAAACCACTTAACCAAGTGATGATGGTGAACATGACCAGTGACATGATTTGGACAAGGCCACTCCACCTTTGCACTGTCTCTCCAAAACCTCACACTCCCCAGTCTAATCAGGAGACAAACATCAGACAAAGCCAGACTAGGGGGCATTCTGCAGGATGCCTGGCCGGCACTCCAGACTGTCGAGGTCATGAAGAACAGACTGTCAAGGTCATGAAGAACAAAGAAAGACCCAAAGCCTGTCACAGACCAGAGGAGACTGAGGGACACAAGGACTAAATGGGGTTGGCACAGAAGGAGGGCATTCATGGAAAAGCAGGTGACATTGAAATAAAGTCTGGAGTTTAGTTAATAGGAATGTACCCATGTTGGTTTCTTCACTTTGACAAATGTACTATGGAGACATAAAAGGTTAATGATGGGGGAAGCTGGGAGAGAGCTATATGGGGATCCTTTGGACATCTACCCATTCCTTGTATTATCCTTGCAACTTTTCTGTAAAGCTACAATTACTCCAAAATAAAACATTTATGTTTCCTAAAATGGGGTCTGATTGCATCAAGAAAGCTGGAAACTACTGTGTAGTAAGTTGTGGGGCACCAAGAACGCACTGGACCACACTCTCAAAGAACAGCAAGGAATCAGAAATTACCCCATTTGGGTGTCTCTGGGGACACCTCACCAGAGACAGAGGACAGGAGTGGAGTAAGGAAAAGGTGACCCATCCCAGGTGAGGGTAGCATGGGAATCGCTGTAGCCCGACATCATGCTGGTACCTCCACATGTGACACATGGTCCTGTCTCATCCTCGGGGCAGCCCCGCGTGTGACCCTGCAGATGTGATACTTGAGGGCCAGTTGTGTGCCGCAGAGTAGGGGAAATAACCCAGAGTTCAACCCGGTGCCAACTGCCTCTCACTGACAGCTCAGGGGCCGATGGGAGTCCTTGCGTCCTCAGAAACCCAGCTGCTCCTCAAACACCACAGCCAGCAAGGAAGCCAGCCAAGGCTGTAACCGATGTTGTGCACACAACATTCTGCATCAGTGGCACGTGGTTAAAGTCACTGATCGAGAAGGACCAGGGTTGCAATGTCAGCCTCACTTTTCCTGTGTGCCTAACCCTGGGCAAGCCACTTAAGCTCTCAATGTCTTCATCTGTCCAATAACCTTGGGACTGTTGGCCGCTTCGGTGACAGGATGCATGTCAGGTGCTCAGCCAGTGCCTGACACACAGGAATGGGCTTTTCCCTCCATTTTATCTGACTTCCTCCTCTCCCCGACTCTGTGAGTGAGGCATAGTTACTACTATGTATTGCAGACAAGGAAACCAGACTCCGCGAAGCCTTGTTGAGGCATGCCAGCATCTCTGTATCAAACCACATACCTCACAGCAAGCATCCCAGCAAGATGCTGGAGTGGATGTCAGAGGAGTGAGGGGGTTTACCTGGTGAGGTGAAATTCACAGACATGGAGGGGCTGTCCTCATTCATATTTGCATTGGGGATATTGTGGGCCCCAATGAAGTAGACTGTATTCAGCTCCACAGGAAAACCTACGTAGGAAAACGTCCACTGAAAGAAAGGCAAAGCAAAGAACCCCTGAATTTCTGAAACACCGCAATGCAGAAATGTAGTACCTTTGCGTGCTGCCCTTTCAGTTTATAACTGTGTTCCTTAGCCTACCGCTGAAACTTCTGTGTCCCGCTGATGTCTACTACGGGAACGGAGCTCCCACAGTTTGCCAGCGTAAGTCACAGAATCGGAGAAGTGTAAACGTTTAGAGCCAGGATATAATTTAAGTTCAGCTCCCCTCATTTTGCAGAAGGGGAAACTTGAGGCCCAGAGATGCTGACTTGCCCATGGCGCACAGCCCAGAAGTGGCCAAAACTAGGATATGAACCCAGGCATCCTATTCTAGGCTCCAAGCTGTGGCCCGTCCGCAGCCTATGTGTACACCACGTCACGTCTGCCCCCCAAGCAAAGGGACGAGCTTTAAAGACGATTAGCCAAAGTGCCTCAATGTGCTCACTCTGCCGCCGGAGGGTCTGGTCTGAGTCTGGAAGGCCTCTGTGTAATTGCACCTCACGCAGCTGTAGGACTGGAGGTTACTCTTGCCTGTCACGCAGATTTTGGTGGCCTTCAACAAGCAGATGCTGGCTGCAGAGACAGGCAAGAAAGCAGTGTTTATTCAGCACCTACTATGCGGACAGCTTGATGCTAGAGCAGTTACATGCCTTATCTCAGTTCATAGTCACAACAGTCCTGTAAGGTAGGCAACCTTACTGCCCTCTGTGTACAGACAGGGTGAGTGAGGCTCAGGGGATTTCAGGGAGCACTGACTAAGCGTACAAAGCTCCTCAGCGGCAGATAGAGATTCAATTCCAAAACCCAAGCTCTTTGCGTCCTCACAGGTAAGCCTCAATTTCACAGGATCCTACAAAGGGGACTCTGGCTCTGCACTACTGTGGGTATCTTTTAAGAGGAACAGGCCTCCCAGAGTGTAATCACCAAACCATGCCTGTTCTGACTGCCCCTCCCTCCTCCTCCTCCCCCTCCCCTCACCTCTAGCTTACCACTCCTTCAAGGCCCAGCTCTCCTGTAACAACAGCAAACAAATGCAAATGCTTACTCAGTACTAGGTATGGGGTCACTGCCTTACCGCACCACCTAGTTACAGTGCTCCCTGAGGGCCCTCTCCAGCTCCCGCTGCCTCCAGTCCATTCAGATGGAGCACAGCTCCTTCCGGGACTGTCCCCACCAACCGACACTGAGTCTGTGCCCCTGTGCCTGTCTCCCCCTGCCCTCTGAGAGCCCTTCTGGGTGGGAACTGTGGCCACCTCACCTCTCTGTCTCAGATATTCCTGGATTCCCAACTAGATGGAATTGAACTGAATTCTGAGCGGGTGGAAACCAGAGACATGGGCTTTAGGCCCCCCAAAATTGGTTCATCGAAAGAACTTGCAAGCTGCCTTGGGGGAAATGCCAGGACTTTCATGGTGCCATTTGGGAAGCAGAAATGTACCTGAGCCAGCACTTTTCCTAAACCTGATGGTGGTGGATGGAGGGAATCATTGCTGCACTTACTCGGTTTTCTTCCATGAAATATAACATACCAAAGAGTACACAGATCTTAAGCAGACCACGTGATGGGTTGTCACACTCATGTAGCCAGCACCCAGGCTGAGAAACATGCCAGGAATGCCCTTTGTGCTGTGTTACTCCCTTCTCAAGAGGAACCATTACTGTGACTTCTATCCACTTAGTTTTGCATTCAGATGTGAATGCGGACTCTTTAATCTGGCTTCTGTGAGAAGCTCACTATGAAAATGTGAGATTCATTCATCCCCACTGTGTTTAGTAACAGATCATTCATGCTCATTGCTGCACTGTATTGGTTTTATGATTCCAATTCTACTGTCAGGCATTTGATGTGTTCCATTTTTTGGCTATTATGGATAATGCAACTACGAATAACCTAGTACAGCAGTCCCCACTCTCACCCACAAGGGATATGTTACGAAACCCCTAGTAGATGCCTAAAACTGTGGAGAGTACCGAACCCTATATACACTAGGTTTTTTTCCTATAATACATACCTATGATGAACTTTAATTTATATATCAGGCACAGCAAGAGATTAACAATAACTCATAATAAAATGGAACAATTATGACAATAGACCATAATAAAAGTTATGTGACTGTGATCTCTATGTGAAAATGCTGTGCTATACTCGTCCTTCTTCTATGTGATGAGGCAAAGCGAGGTAAATGCGGCTGGTGCTGTGACGTAGCACTAGGCTACTATGGACCTTCTGAAGATACGTCAGAAGGAGGATCGTCTACTTCCAGCCTGTGGTTGGCCATGAGCAACTGAAACCATGGAAAGCAAAACCACAGATAAGGGACCACAGTATGTGGCTTTTGGTGCACCTCTGTATTTACAGTATTCTGTTCGGTTCCTGCCATGCGAGGAATTAATGGGTCACATAATCTGCACTTTTCTGCTGTAGTAGATACTTTAGGCTTTACTGCTCGATGCAAACTTACCATCTGCCCGGAGTACCCAGCTCACATTCATCAAAATTGAATAGTCCTCCATTGCAACTCTGCTTCTAACAGGTTCCACTCGGAGGTCCCTCAAGTCTCCGGGGGTCAGAGTGTGTTGGACCATCCACTCTGGAGATGGTCCTGGGAAGAGGCAAAACTGCCTGAGACACTCTCCTTCCTGGCCCCACCCAATGCCATCTCCTCTGAGTGGCCCACCCGGATCCATCCTTCACTCACTATTCATCTATTCCTCCTGCTAAGGCAGCACACATCTCTTAATGCTGGCTGGTTTATGTCCAAGGAGATGGGCAACCTCCTGGCCCCACCTCGCAGGGCACTCAAGACCACCCCATGTGTCTGTGTATGTACAGCTGTATTTAGCGTATTTGACATGCAGGTCCCTCATGTCTCAGTCTGGACTCCAGCCAGCTGGCCCACACAACTCCCAGTTCCTAATCACTGGTGGCCCAGCTCTCCTCAAGCTCATCTTTTCCATCCACAGTTTTGGAGCAGGAGCCCACTCATTCTTCAAATGCTACCATCTCAAACACTCCTTCTTCTCTAAGACAGCTCCTTCCTGTTCTCAACTGTAAGTGATCTCCCTATCTCGGCACTTGATCTCCCAGAGTATCAGGCTTCACTTTCCACCCTGAAGGGGGATTCCTCTCCTGCCTGTGCCCCTCTTACCGGCCAGGAAGCCTGCCCATCTGAAACACTGGGAGCTCTGCCTTGCCGGGTAGAGGCTTCATCCACATTGGCTAACAAAGCAATGTTTCACCCTGTCCCTGGTCTCAATGACCCACTGCCTGGATGTGGGCCCCCTAAAAGTCCACTGTTCTGTCAGTGTAAAGCCCCAAATGCCCATTCCCTAGCATACGTACCAGGTTCAGAGCCACACTGAATGGTCTGCAAGAGAGAAAGAAATAAAGTATCGTGTTGAATGCCAGCAAACCATAAACCCTCATTTGCCAAATTAGACAAAACACCATCTTTTTCTTAAAATGCATATACAAGTGGCAAACTCTCAGAGAAAAGCTGGGCTGGTTCCACTTCAGTTTAAGGAAGACTAAGCTGGCCCAGAGTAGGGTAAAATAGACCTTAGATTAGCTATCAATATACTTAGATCCTCAAGCCTGCTCATCACCACACTTAAAAACTAGAGCAGGGTCTCCACTCCTCTCTGTGCCTCGCCCCCTTGCCCTGCTATACGCAGGAGTGACTCTGGACCATCATGAAGACCCCTTCCCACTCTGTTGTTCAAGTGTAGATTTTGAGGACCATCCAGAGTACCTACTGATTCTCCCCAGGTTAGGGACTAGCTGTGCCAAGAAGATAAACAGAAGAAAGCTATGAATGCAATCCAAGGTGCCGTCCCCTTGTCTTTAAAATGTTCTTCCTCTGATACAAAAGGACTCACCTGAGCTAGCTATTCAGAAAATCAAAAAGCAGTTGTGATTTCATCATGTTATGTTTTGCAAAGAGCTTTTAAAAAATAAGTATGATCATTAGTGTCCAGAAAGGCTAGTACTAAATCCTTCGGAGTTAACGGCTCACGTCATTTTAAGAAACAAATAATTAGTACTTTTGTTTTGTAATAAAATACTAGATCAAAAATATTTAACTTTCAGGCAGCAGCAAGTCCCAGTGACAAGACCCTCTACGATAAAAGTGCACTGGCTCTGGAATCTGATCCCTTGTACATTTCCAAACATCTTCTAAGACTGAAGATAAAATTTGATGGTTTGATCAATCTGGGTTTGGATGAAATTGTTAGTCCCTCATCTTCGCTTTTTAAAGCTGAACTTCAAGTAATATCAGATATTTTTTAAAACAAGTAAGCCACCACAGTGGGAGCTGAGTTCTTGTCAAAGGGCTGATGATATAGATTTTAGGAAGAAGCAAAGCACCAGGGAGAGTAGCTGGAGACATCAGAGCACATGAAGGGGTTCATCTCTCCATAACCATCAACAGGTAACCACCAGCTTTTATGCTGTATGCTAGGAGAGCAGGGATATAGCTTCAAATGCTATTTGATGAGATTTTTCTTCAATAGTGACCCAGAAGATTCCCTCAAACCTTCAAGGCACTGGGAAAGAAAGGAAACCTGCCAGAGTTCAACAGACTACCAGCTCCACCGCCGTGGCACCCAGCACAGCACCAAGCAACATGGCAACGAAAGGCAACCGGTAATGGAGAAGCAGTTTTTTTTTTTTAAATGTTGATATATGATTTTGAGAGAGAGACAGAGACAGACACAGAGAGAGACAGAGAGAGAATATAAGTATGGGAGGGGCAGAGAGAGGGAGACACAGAATCTGAAGCAGGCTCCAGGCTCTGAGCTGTCAGCACAGAACAGGAAGGGGGGCTCGAACCCACGGACCCGAGATCATGACCTGTGCCGAAGTCCCACCCTTAACCGACTGAACTACAGAGGCGCCCCCTCGGTTTTTGTACGCCAAGGTGGGCAGACCTCAAGACTGCAAGTGGTAACAACGAATAGTATTGAGTGCCTACTATGTGCCAGGCGCTTTGCTGCTGTCTTGCAAGCCCTGTCGCTGTTCCTCACTAGACCCAAGTGAGTTGTGGGTATTACTCTCCTTTTTATAGATGAGGACACCGAGCCTCAGTGGACATAAATGACTGAATCCAGAACACCGGCTACCATTTGAGCCCGGGTCCGTCTGATTCCCACGCCCCTGCCTCGAGCCTGAAGCCCGGTATGGCCTGTCTTGGTGCCCCAGGGGGCGTAGATGTGCCCCTTCCAGGCGGCCCTGGGAGAACAAGCAGGAGCTGGACCGTCGGACGCCGTCAGGGTCTCGGCTCCAGGGAGGGAACGCGGGAAAGGGGCGCGGACGGAGGCTTACCGGCTCCGTGGACACCGCTCCCCAGCACAGCGTGGCTAGGCTCAGCAGCGCCGGCGACATCGCGGAACCCCGGCCAGCCCCCGGCCGGCCGCACTCTTATCTGCGCGCCTGCGGCCATCCCTCGCGGCCCCGCCTCCCGCAGCGCCGCCCCCGCCCCGCCGCGCGCGCAGGGGGCGGACCCCTAGTTGGGTGGGGAACCCGGGAGCGCCGGGGCGCGCCTGCCGGGGCTCGCGGGGATGGGCCGGGTCCCAGAGCCTCCGGGCGCCTGGTGGGCAGAGCACCGGCGGCCGCGGCGCGCTGCGGACCCCGGGCACACGTGCGAGCAGTGAGCCAAGTTCAGGGCTGCACACGCGCGCTCGGGCCAGCCCGCAGCCCCGGGCCGAACCGCCCGCTCGCGGTTCCCCTCCAGGCCGCTGAGAGCGCGCGGTGCGCGGGCGCCGCCAGTTAAAGGGTAGCGGGGCGAGCGCCCGGACGCCGCCGCTCCGCCGCAGCTCCCCGGTCCCAGCTGCCAAGGGTGAGTAGCGGGGGACGCGCCCCGACCCGCATCGTCCCGGCCGCAGACCCGGAGCCCCGGGTGGCCTCGGGCCGGGGGTTGTTGAGTCGGGAGGACCCGGGCTGGACGCTGAGGCTGGAGCCCCACCTTCCGCCTCGGCGCGCCCCCCTACCCCCCAAGACAAAAGGGTGGGACGCTGGCAGCCGTAGCCTCGCTGAGTTCTTCGCGGGAGCCAGTTGTTTCGAGGAACTAAGTTGTGTGTTGTTAGAGTAATGGAAGTCCTCCCTCCCCACCGGGTTCCCTTGGTATGTTTACTGCCGCAAAGTGAGGTCTGAAAGTAACACTTGGATCTCCGAAGGCGGAAGCATTGGACGCTGTACGGATTTCGCTGTGCTCTGGTGTCACGCTCCGCCTTAAATGCAAATCCTGGGCCCTGGGTCCCGGCTGCGCTCCGCTTTTACAAGCCCTCCCTGATAATTCTGACGCCTGAGCCTGGCATAGTGATTTGAAGACGGTTAGCAAAAATTAGTGGGGCCAACAGCGGATCACAGAGCTTAGATCTGGGCTGCTGCAAAGGACCAGGTTAGGTTGACTGATCAAGGCCACTTAAACTTGCAGGCCAAGTTAGCGCCATTCTACAGATGAAGAGACTAAGGCCTAAAGAGGGCCCTGAAACTTATGGAGGGAATTAATAGCTGGTGAGAGGTTGACTTAATGAAGCAGCTGGTTTTGCTGAGGCCCTACTGTATGCCAGGCCTGGCTCACTTGCCGGGTTCAGATTTGGACCTACGTGGACTGGAGCTAAATCTCAAGGTCACCTAGAGCTCTGGCATGCGTACATGTGGGGCTTCAGGTGACGTTTCCAAAGGATTGGTTTGGTTTCTGACCAAGGAGAATGGCTGAAGGGAGGTTCTTGCCTCATCACTGCCTGGGGCTGGGTCACCCTGGGCCCGTTACTCAACCTCTCTGAGTTGCTTTGAGCTGTGTGGTCCTTGAGACCGATTCCAGCCCTTATAGTTGTCGGTCTTCCCAGCAAACACCTGCAGGGTGCCAGTACTGGGGTGCAAAGGTGAATGACACACAGGTACTGGCTGATGGGCGCTCTCAGACTGGGGATGAATGTGGTGAGTGCATGTTCAAGGGCACATCTACCCGCCCTGCTGTGAAATTGCAGTTGGAGACAGCCCTATAGGCCAGGGGGAGATCGTGAACTTTGTTCTGGGGTGCCAAGGAACAACAGCTGAGGTTTAGGTGGTGGTCAGTTTAAGCTTTAGAAAGGCCACCTGGATGGCTCTGAGGGATAGTTGGGGGGAGGGGCAGCCCCTGTGAGACCAGCAAGAAGGTAGCTGCTAACCAGTGTGCATTCCCTCACTGAACAGGTGAGTCCCTGTTGTGGGCCAGGCTCAAGCTATGCTGGTTTTACAGCTGTGTGTTGGGACCATGAGTGCAAGGGTTTCGGGGACAAGCAGGGATGTGGAGGTGAGGCCCCAGGGATGAGGGAGCAGCCCCGAGGGACCAAATGGGGCAGAGAGGTCAGGGTATGTCACTGGCATTCAGGGGTGGCTTTGACAAGAGGGAATGAGACGCACATGGGAGGAGATGCAGAGATGGGAGTGGGGTGGGGGTGGTTTTAAGAAAAGGAGAGTCGGAGGTTCTTTGTCCAGGGGCGGGAGGTGAGTGTGGTGTGGAGGTCACTGAGCATGTGGTAGCAGGGGTGGAAGGAGGGACCCTGGGCAGCGTGGGGTGTGGGGGCACAGCGCTGACACCGCCCTGGCCCTCTGGGGCTCCGGGATGGTGATGATGCCCGTGAAGGGATCTGCAGACAGGACTGCGGGCTGGGGCGTGGAGGGGAGGGCCTTGCGGCCATGGCTGGTATTCTCTGTAGGCCAGCAAGCTATGCCTGCTTGCCTTCTGGGGGGTAGAGGGGTCCACACTGGCTTGGAAGGTCATTCCAAAATGTGTCCGTCATGAGACGTCCTTGTTGATCAGGCATGCAGCCTTCGAGGGGCCTGCTGGAAGGGACACCATTTGTTCAAGTACCTAAGCCCAATAATTTTGTGGCTTTATAAGCTGGAGGCAGGGCCACTAAGCGTCCAGCAATCTCAGCTTCCTCTCTCTCTCTCTGTCACCTAGGGCATGTCGCTGCCCTTCTCAGGGCCTCTGTTTCCTTTTTTGTAAAATGGGGCAGATGAGATCATGAAGTGGCCCAGTGAGGTGACTTGAGCCTGAGGGAAGCAGCCTTTGAAGATACTCAAACCTTCCCCCTGCAGTCCTGAACTCCGCCAGGTCTGGGTTTCTCAGAGGGCCACCGCACAGTGCGCCTTCACTCCTGCAGTGTGCCTTCATGTCCTGGTATTTAAGAGAAACTGTTAAATGCTTGAATGAACCAGTTATGGGCACCTTTCCCCAAGGTGGTATTCACACCTGCCTACGCAGGAGAGCTGCTTTGGGCTTCCTCTTCTTTCTCCTCTGGTGGAGGGAGGTCTGGCCTCTGCCGGAGCCCAGAAGACCCGCCCCTTCTCGTCCCCGTGACACCTGACCCCAGACTCCCTGGAACAGGTTCTGTACCACCACTGGCCGTTGAGGCACCAGGATTTGCCTGGCTGTGCTACTCATCAGCTGCTGGCCTTGGGCGAAGCTCTCAGAGTGTGAGAGCCTCAGTTTACCTACCTGTAACGGGGCTGACATCAGCTCTGCTGGTCTGGCAGGGCTATCAGGAGACTGCAGAGAGAGGAAGAGAGTTGAAGGATTTCAAGGTGTGGTGTCAATTTAGGGCCAGGGAAGTCAGGATGACCAAAAAAAATTAATACCTCTATGACTCACATAAGGAAATTCGTTTGGATCCAAGTGTAATGACACTCTCGGGTTCTATATCCTTTATCAGGCCTCTGTCTCTCTGCTTGGTCCATCCCGGGGAGAACAAGGCCATTGAGGTTGTTGACATTTCCCCTGGGCCCTGCCTCCACCCAGGTGGAATTTTCCACTTTGCTCCTTTTGCAAATATTAATCAAGGCCCCGGCCAGTCAACAGTGGACTCATTGTCTCATGAAGAGCAAGCTGTTTCTGGCTGCTTCCCAGAGGCTCTGCGGCCCACCCGAGCTGGGGCATGGGGCTAGTGGGAGCGCCTCCGTCCCTTCACCCCGTGTGCTGCTCCAGCTGGTTGGGCTCTGCGGGGTCAAGGGTAATGCCTGCTTTGAGCCAGGATGTGACGCCTTGCAGAGGGCCCGCACTCCGCTGTTCCCAGCAGGGCCACAGGACTGCTGTTGTCTGCTCTCGGTGCAGCGGGGCCGGACTGGGCCTGCCGTGAACTCCACGTTAGTATGACTTCTGCGTGTTCTGGGACAAAGCCCTGTGAAGTCACAGCCCACGTGCACTTACATTGGTGTTACATGTGTTGTCACACTAGGACCTCAGAGCAAGTCTGAACACAGAGGGACAGGGACCACTGTTCTCCCAGAGCCCCCTCTGTGCATGGGGTGGTGAAGTAGGCCCCCCAGGGCTGGAGGGAGCATTCCTGGAGGTGTCGGGCACACACAGGTGCGTTGGTGATCTAGTTTTTGATCAGTGATACTTTAGTTAGTCTATTATCAGTAATACTGTTTTTGGCCGTGGTTGCACTTGATGGAGGAGGAAACAGGGTGAGTGAGGCTATGCAGTGAGTGGGATGGGGACAGGGCCCAGGCCACACTGGGAATGTGACAAAATCGCCAAGTGCTTCGGCTTTGCACTTCATTCTTCAAAGGGTGTTTTTGGCTCTGACTTCCTTTTGTTCTCCTATCAAACCTACAAAAGAGATGGCTTCTGTTCCCATTTTATGGATGAGGAAACTGAGGCCCAGAGGTGTTAAATAAACCACGAGTGGTGATAGCACTGGGGCTGCAACCCAAGGATCTTGACCACCAACGCCCTTTACTTTTTATTTTTTTTAAAATGATTTTTTTAACTTTTATTTTGAGAGAGAGAAAGACAGAGTGCAAGCCAGGGGAAGGGCAGAGAGAGAGGGAGACATAGAATCCAAAGCAGGTTCGAGTCCCCTAGAGCTGTTGGCACAGAGCCAGATGCTAACAAACTCACGAAGGGTGGGATCATGACCTGAGCCGAAGTCAAAGTCGGCTGCTAACCGTCTAGCTCCTCCCCTTCACTTTTTAAAGCCATTGTCTTTTTTTTTTTTTAATGTTTTATTTATTTGAGAGAGAGAGAGCATGAGCAGGAGAGGGTCAGAGAGAGAGGGAGACACAGAATCTGAAACACACTCCAGGCTCTGAGCTGTCAGCACAGAGCCACATGTGGGGCTCGAACCCATGAACCGTGAGATCATGACCTGAGCCGAAGTCAGATGCTTAACCGACTGAACCACCCAGGCGCCCCTTAAAGCCTTTGTCTTAAGGATGACACCTAGCAGACCAAGTCACTGTGTGACATTGCTGTAAAAGTTTCTCAGCTCTGACTTTTTTCTCTTTCACAGACAATCCACAACAGTGTGTGGGCTGACCCTGGTGGCCCTGAATCCTGTCATATCCGGGTGTGAGGTGGGTGTTTTTTTTTTTTTTAATGTTTATTTGTTTTTGAGAGAAAGAGCGCACGTGCGCACGAGAGCATGTGTGCGTGTGAGCCAGGGGAGGGGGGCAGAGAGAGGGAGACAGAAGATCCAAATGGGTTCTGTCATCGCCCAGCCTGCCCACCTGAGGCTTGAGCTCATGAATGGTAAGATCATGACTTGCACCAAAGTCCCAGGCACCTGAGGTAGGTGTTTTTTAACTGAGACTTGAAAACTGTTAGGGGTGCACAGAGCGTTTAAGCATTTGCAGTGGAAATACTTGGAATCCTCCAGCCTAGCCCTGGCCCCATACCTGGGGGTGGGGTGGTTTCTAGGCCACCCTCCTTTCTTTACCTCACTCCTTTGGTAAGGATATTAGAGACTTAAAACAGACAACAACAACAGCACTCTTTTCTTTATGGAAAGTTTGCAACAGAATTAGCCAGGAGCCTTTGTCAAGCCCCATATGCCCATCACAAAGCGG